GGGGAGGCTCAGGGGGGACAGCAGCAGGAATTTCCCCATGGAAAGGGAGCTCAGGCCTTGGCAGGGGCTGCCCAGGGAGCTTTGGAGTGCCCATCCCTGGAGGTGTCCCAGGAAGGGCTGGAGGAGGCACCCAGGGCTCTGGGCTGGGGACAAGGTGGGGATGGGGCACAGCTGGGACCCGATGGCCTTGGGGGTCTTTTCCAACCTAAATGATTGTATTTGATGATTCTCACTACACTGATTCACTTCTGAATCTCTCTTCTAGGACTGAATTCAGTCTGGATTTCCTGCTTACAGCTTCACTGACACCTGCTCTTGGTTTTCTCCTGCCTCCTCTCACTGCCATCTTTCTCCCCTGTTCTTTTGCATAGACAGGCTTTATCTGGAAATATGCCACTTCACCAGAATTTACTTCTCCATCCATTCTGAAAAGGTCTTGAAAGCTGCAGAAGCCTTTCAAGTAGCTAAACCTCTTTTGGAATATCTTAGAAATGTGTAGCCACTGCCCACAACTTCCCAAAATGGAGCAACAGTTGATCAAATGAGCCCTGAGCACCAGTCCTCACCTCAGCTTTGGCTAATTCAATTCCAGACATTCAGAACATCTATTTTATTTATCAGAGCACAAATCTATTTGGAATTCTGTCTCTGGCCACTTCTGAATGAGTTTTTCAAATCTTCCTGGAAATACAAATGTACAAAGGGTACCCATAAAAATGCTCAGTCTAAACATTTGCTAAAAGTCTTTCTAATACTGTTTTTATAGAAAGAAGCAAAATTTGTAATTCTTGCAATGGGTAGTGGGGAACTTAAATAACTAAACAAATAAATTAATTAATCCCAGAAACTGTACACAACTTCCCAAAGATAAGGGGAAGAAAGGAAGTAAAAAGCAAAATGAGGGCAAGATGACAGAAAGGAGACACTACAGTCACACTGCAAGGAATACTTAAGCTCTAATTAAAAGTAATGTTAAAAATGCATTAGTCATTAACAAACAAGGTCACAGGCCCAGCTGCCCAAAGCATGATCACAGAAAATAAAAATCAGCAGTGGGAATGTCAACAAAGCCCTTCAATGTGGCCATTTCAGATTATTTGCATTGCTTTGTTACAGGCATTTATCTGAATCCAATCCCTTCACCCTGATGGGATCCTCAGAGAGATTCAGGAAATGTCTTTTGCACTAATTTTAAACAAGATGTTTCAGCAAAAAATTTATTCCATCAAAACCCTTTGTATCTGAACACTGAAACTGAAGGTTCATAACCCTCTGTTCTGTAGGTCATTTGCAGCAGTGACAATCTGGGCCCTGAGTTTCAAACAGTATTACTAAAAGAATTAGGTTAAGAGATGAGGAAAAAAAGAAAAGTGTATTTTTAGCCAAGATAAATGTGATGAACAACAAGCTCTGAAAGGAGATGAAATCCTGTTCAATATGAGAAGTTGCTGAATATATTTTTGTAGACCAGCTTTGGCACTGGCTCTTTCAAGGTATTTTTTTGTTTGATGAGTTTTCATGGCCCTGTGGAGTAAAATCCTCTCTGAAAGTTTTCAAACTTGTTTTTGTAGGGATAAAGGTCTTACAGCAACCCTTCTATTTCCAAAAAAATAATAATCCCATATTCTTAATATCCATATGGGAATCCTTCCTGATGGGAAGGCTTTAATATCAACCATTTGCCACCATGTGCCACTCAGGTGTAACAAATGCCTACACAACCAAACATCCTTCTGCAGGAATTCATTATAAATGTTGTACTTAAACGTTGTGACCAACAACAAACACTTTTTCTTCTCCAGGAAAAAGAACTTTTCTGCTTTTTCCACTTATCACCGTCCCACGCTCTTCACTGTTCCTTTGCTTCCTTTGCAGTATGCTCATTAATTTGTTTTTAATCAATTACTAACCAAATCAGAGGGGGAAATTGTAGTTTTGTTTTGCAGTATGAAGAAAATGCTGGATTTAATATCTCTTTGTGGTAAAAAAATGTGTTTTCTGTTTTAAAGTGCTAGGTTTGATTGCAAAATTTTAGTGTGTTTTTTTAATAAGTCTGCTGCAAATTTGCCAGGATGAGGGGAGGGTATTCACCTAATGCCAATTAAGCCTTTATTTAAAACTTAGGCTAGATGAATAAATGTTGAAATCTGTAAAATTATTGAAATCCCAGCTGTTTGGGTGAAGCCACAAGTTGGATGAGCAGAGGCAGCTCAGCTGGGCAGGCAGGTCAGCAGAAGTTAGAACTTTACAAGCTATTCCTTGTTCTGTGCCAGGAGGAAAATGGACCTGGCTCCTGCAAAACTAATGAGTTTTGTTCAGATCACTGACTCCTCCAGAAGCCCTAATTACAGAGGGACAGAGCTTCAGGATCAATTATCCAGATTTCAGTTCACAGGGACAAAACTTCCTTTTTTAAATCAACTTGGCGTTTCTTTTGCAGAAGCCAAGGGCAGCTTGGGCTGGTGAGGGCCCTGCAGTGAGAGGTGGGGCAGTGGCTGGGCTGAGGGAATAGTTCAGTACTGAGAGACTTCCTCAGACAGAACATTCAACTTCTTTAAGTGAGGAGCCTAAATGAATGCCCAGACCCTAAATCTGTCTGCAAATGTCCTTCTCCCAGCCGTGTGTACAGGCCATGCAACACAAACCCTTGAGCTGCTGCAGAATTCCAAAGCAGAAACAGCCAAGATCTTTTCTTGGGCCCTGGAAATGCATCCCTGTCTTTCCTCCTGTGTTTCCAGACAGAAAGCCTGCTGCCCTACTTATCCTGGTGTGTTTGCTGCAGGAATCCTTCGTCTCCAGCTCTACAGATCTGTCAGGAGCAGATCTGAATTCTCAGTGTTTATTGAGTTGCCCTTCCCACTATTCCCAGGCAAACGTGGTCTTGGAAAAGTGTAACCAGACAAGTAACATTAATTCAATCAGTTCCTAATGAGAATCATGTTGTGACTTCATTAAAAACTGGAAACTGGGTGTGAAATGCAATCAAATCATAACTCTAATAATTTACCTCTGACTTCCTAAAAGTTGTTTTGCAAGGCACGCAACTGTCGCCATGTAGTTCAAAAAGTCACTGGGGCAGACTTGCCTTTTTGGGGTTAGTTTTGCAGTCACCTTTGTGAAGAAGGTTTTGGTGCTTTATTAAAGGAGATGGTGAGTGTTTTTTGTGGCAGCAGCTCACAAGAAGCCCTGATGCTTTTCTGCATCCATGCACGTCTCTCCCTGGCATGGCTGGGTGTGAAGAGAGCAGGGCACTCACTCCAGGCAACAAATCCAGACCCTTCAAGGACAGCTCTGACTGAATGAACCACTTGAATATTTGCTTCTCCCCTCTTTCTCTTTCCAAAATCAAGTCTCACTTAAAGTTTGGAAGATCTGGATAAGCTAGTAAATTCTCAGCTATTTGGCCAAAACACAGCAATGGATGAGGGAAAACTTTGGGAAAGCATCTTGGAGCTTGGAATTCACTGGGAAACTGGCAGTGCAATGGGAAAGCTCACTCACTTGAGAGGTCCAGACATGAGTTCAGATACACTTTAAAAGACTGAGGGGGGCAGCAGAGAAAGAGTTAGGACAGGCTCAAACTCAACAGACTCGGTCAGGATCAAGGGGAACAACCTGGAAGTTCAGTAGAAGCCTGGGGAAAGTGAGCTGCTGTGTGAACTCATGTTTAGCATTAGAGACAGGCAAATACTTGATTCCAACTGGGCAAACTTTAGCTAAAGCATCAGGAAAGGTGGGATAATAGGTTTGGTTTAGAAAGACTCAAGATCAAAGTTTCACTAAGACAGTGAGGAAAAAAGCAAACACTTTTTTTCCTCAAATCACTTCTTCCTTAAAACAGCTGACCTACAGCTAAGAATATTCAGGACAGCTCAGATGAGTGTTAGAAAGATGCTACCCAAGGTCACAAACATGGGAAGAACCTGAATAACTGCAGAGTCTGAGCCTGGTGTGCCAGCACACAGGAGAACAGCTTCAAACTCACAAGGAATAGGTTTAGATGGGATATGAGGAAAAAAATCCCTCCCTGTGAGGGTGGGGAGGCCCTGGCACAGGCTGTCCAGAGAAGCTGTGGCTGCCCCAGCCCTGGAAGTCTTCCAGGCCTGGTTGGATGGGGCTTGGAGCAACCTGGGATAGGGGAAGGTGGCCCCTCTGACGGCCTCCAAAAGTTTCCCTGCTCCCAGCAATCTGCCTTTGGGAGCAGCTGGTGCTGCTCAGGGGCAGGAGTTTATGCCCTGGTGCTTGTTGGGAAACATGAACTGTGAGATGATCTGCTAAAGCTGGATTAAGAGAGGCTTTGGAGTCTGGTGGGACATGTGGAGCAAGAGTCTGGGTTCCCTAGACATGGCAGTCTTAACACTTTCATTTTTCCCCCCTGTGCCTTTCTAAAAATTGCTGGCTCAAATACCAGGATTATGTATCTTGCATTTTTGGGGTGATTCTAAAGCCACTTCAATTTATTTCCCATATTGGAAGCAGCGTTTTTTAATGAAAAGAGCCCAAATTGAGATGCTGAAGTGTTTCAAACACAGAGCATCACAACAAAACACTTTCAGGATGGGGCTGACAATCACAGTTGCATAAAATGGGGATTTAACTCTTTTGTAGCAGCTTCATAACTCATCAGTAAAATGAGATACCAATCAGTTTTTCTAAGGAGCTGGCACAGAATATTTAGCTGCTCAAAGGGCTTATTGTAGAAAATATATTTACCAGAGAGAAAATGAAGTCTGGAGGAGAACCAGCTCTGGGCTGAATGAATTTGAAAAGGCTCTTTCACTGCCTATAAATCAAAATTATTAGGGCTTAATTTTTAATTTTTAATTTTTCTGAAGTGGGAGGAGGACCTGCTGCTAAAAGCCAACATGAATGTAATGGGCTCGTTTGTTGAAAGCATGCAATTGCAGCCTGAGCAAACCGCAGGCAGCACACAGACAATGGGAGCAGGAGCCCTGCCACACACAGACACACAGACTGCACTGAGAGCCACAGAGCTTTACCTTTCTGGAGCTTGGATGCATTGTCCTGGATCCAGCTGAAAAGATTGGCAAAGTCACAGTCACAGACCCAAGGGTTGCCCTCCAAGCGGATGGTCCGCAGGGAGGGCAGCGCTTCCAGGGCTGCCACGTTTAGGCTCTGTAAGTTATTGTCATTCAATTCTAACACTTGGAGCTGGTCCAGGTTCTCAAAAGCAGCCTCGTCCACATCCACCAGGTTATTGTTTCCAAGGCTCAATTTTATCAGTTTCTCTGCTGATTTGAATATCCCAGCATCGAGCTGTGTTAAATTATTGTAGCTTAAGTCTAAATACACCAGTTTGGTAGAACTGCTAAAAGTGCCCTCTTCTAAAGAGGTGAGGGAGTTATTCCTGAAGTCCAAATAGACTAGATCTCCATAAAATATAAAGAAGTCAGCTGGTATCGCCTGAATGTTGTTATCAGCTATGAGAAGTTTCCGTACATCCAATGGAAAGGGATTAGGAACACTTGGGAGTCCTTGATCCCGGCAGTCTATGGTGTGGTAGTCCATGCAGCTACAGACAGCAGGGCAAAGATGACCCCCAGGCAGGAAAAGCAGGCAGGCAAAGCCAGCAAAAGGCAGGAGGCAGGAAGGAAAGCATGGCAACATCGTCAAGGATCTGAAGGCTGTGATGAGCACCACTTCTAGGAGAAAGACATTTTGCTCAGCTGAGCAGGAGTGCCTGGTACTTGTGTGTGTGTCTGATTGTATCCAGGAGATCACATATCATCACAGATCCGATAGCAGCAGCCTGGAGGGGGAGGGATGAGAGAGGGAGGGAGGCAAATGTGAGGATTTACACTGTCAGAATATTATGATGCTGTACAGGGTGAGGAAAGCGATGATTGGGTACACGGAGGATCTTTCAAAGGACTCCCTTGCTTTTGTAAGCTAAAAAAAGCCCAGAGCCTGTTTGAATATTTGCTGTATATTCCAGCAAAGGGGAAATCACACCTGATCCTGTGACTCTGACAGCAACAGCTTCTGCTCAGAAAGCCCTTCAGGTAAAAATCCCTGATGAGATCACTTACTGTGTTTGTTAGCAGGAGCCTCCCTCAAGGTGACCAACAGCTCTGGAAATGCAAGTGAGGGTCAGGCAGTGTCCTGAATGCCTGCTAAGGACAGTTTCCCTTTTATTTGTAAAACAGGGAGCAGAAGGGGGGAGCCTTAAGACAAGGAGCTGTGCTTTGTGCTGTTTCTGGATTCCTCAGCTCTTAGAGCAAGGCTGTTCACATTATCTAAATATGACTCAGTATAACCAAGAAGAAACAGCAGCAACAAGGAATATGGTCTCCAAAGTGAGGGGCTTTTCCTTCCTGTTTTAATCACCCAAAAAACTTCTTTCTGCTACTGCACCAGTAAGGTCTGTTGGGCCACATAAAAGCACAAAATGTGGATCAAATCTTTAGCTGCTTAAAATGGAGCTGGTTTTCTTCATTTTCAGGGGGTTGAAATATTTGACAGTCAATCTGCCTGTCTCCTGTGGGACAGCAGAAATGATTTTGCAACAAGGCATCTGTGTTTTCCTGACATCCTCAAACCCACACCCACAAAGGCGAGTCCTCAGCCAGCCACACTCTTGACTTTTAACTCCATCCCTCCCTCTTTCTGCAGGGTGTGTAAGCAGAGAGACTGGAGAGCTGGGGCCTCACCTATGTGCTTGTGATGGAAGATTTTTCTAGAGACAGATGGTATTTGGGTGCTGTGGTGGAAGATTTTTCTAGAGACAGATGGTATTTGGGTGCGTGTATCCTGATGAAAGGAGCACAAAGTCAAATACCTTTGGCAAGCTCATTCTTAGGTCAAGGAGTGGCCAGAAATTTTGATTTGGGGTTGTATTTTATAACTGGATTCAGGCTACCTTTCATCCAGAATAGGGGACAAAAATGTCCTTCTCAGAAAACCTTTTCTCCAAGATACCTGTGCCTGAACTCAAACAATGACAGCAGCATCCCTCACCTCTCCTCAGTACATACCTAGAAACACTCAACAGCTGGGAGGGAACAAAGAGGGAGCCACACTGTTCTCAGTAGCACCACTGACAGAAAAAGACAAAATGGGCACAAACTGAAAACCATCTGAACACAAGGAAACACTTCTCTTACTGTGAGGGTGCCCAGGCTTCCCAGAAAGTGGAATATCACCACAAAACCCAGCTGGGGACAGCACTGGGCAAACTCAGACTCTGCTGGAGCAGGGGACTGGGCAAGCTGATTTCCAGAGGTCCCTTCCAAGCTCAGCATTTCACTGCACAGCTCTTGGGAAATGAACATGTCAAGGTTTATACCTCTGAGAACCTCTCTCACATTTTGCAACACACTTTGTTTCTAATTCATAGGTCTTTTAGCTAAACCACCTTGAGACAGGCTCTGGATCCCTCCCATAAAGACACATCCTCCTCCAGGTGCCTTTCATGTCTTAAACTGCTTTGAAAAGACCACCCAGAAAAAAATGGGCACAGCTGCCTCTATAAACCACCAGGGCAAAGCCCAAATAAATTCCTGAGGTGATTATTTAAAATATTTACCTTTAAATTACAGAGGAAGTGGCAGTTTGACAGGCTACCTCCAATTAGAAAAACCCAAACATGCAAAATAACTCTTGGGGTCAGGATTCACTGAATTGGCATCAAAATTCTGCAGCTGATATTTCTCATGCAGAACTGATGCTTTTTAAACTCTTAGGGCTTGGAAGCAATTGCTCCTGCCCAATCTATTGGTTTTCTGCCCCTAATTTAACTAAGGCTTTAGGTCAGATATAAAGATGTTTCTAACACAGGAGAGCAGAACTGATTTGATGTTTTTAGCAATGCAATTTTATATGGAGACATTCAGCTCTCTATTAAGGGCAGCTGTTTATTCACAAGATTTAAGGGTCTCTGTGGCTCCTCCTCTGCAGCCCCCCCCCCCCTTTTTCTATCAAGTGCACAGAATCAGGATGTGACATTTCCATTTCCAAGATGCCTCAGCCTTCACAGATGGGAGACTACAGACAATAAGGCATAATTTGTGAAAGTTCCAAGAACATGCTAGTGGCAGGGGTGGAAAAGGACTCAGCTTCCCTAAGAATTCCACCAGCCCTTGCTAAAACTTCCACTCCTTTTTTTCCAGAGCAGATCTTTTGCTCAGCTGCTCACCTGCATCCCTTCCCCTGCCCCCAGCCCCATCCTGAGACGTGTTCTGCAGCTCCTGTGCAGCTGGCAGTGTCTGCACTGAGCTTCTCCTGCCTGAGATCTTTGTCAAGGGCTTGGCAGGAGATGAGGGATTACTACCAGGCTCTGGATATTTTGGGATAGGTATCCCATAGGTTTGTGAAGCATCAGCCCTTAAGCAGCCAGGGAAGCAGAGTTTCTCTGCCAATGTGTGACAGCTCTGATCTGCTGTACAAACCCAGCTGCAGTGTGCCATGGGCTGCTGCCTTTCTATGCTCTTTTGGATTTCAGAGACTTTCTTCCTGACCCATCTTTCTCTGTGTAACATTTCCTGTTTAATTTTGTCTTTTTTAGCTTCTGCTTATTTCTGTTTCTCAGCTGTTTCCCTCACAGCACAGAAATCCTTGTGAATCTTTTTGAAGCCTCATTCACTTGCCAAACGTTTTGTGCAGTTTTGACTAGCAGGAAGAAAGCAAAACTTTCTACCTAAAAAATATTAAAGCTTTGCTTTTTAAAGTCCTTTATTTTCATCAGTGACAGTATCCTGGGGGTTTGGCTGTGATGTGCTGAGTGCACAGCACCCTCTTGTGCCCTCGGATACTGGGCAGCCACAACTGCTCTGCTCCTTTCTGGTGAATTATTAACTAATTTTACCATATTTCTACAGTTTGCCTGACTCTTTGGTTCCCTTCTTCCTCCTCCTGTTAAAGAAACCCCAATTACTCTGTATAAGAAAATAAAAGACATAAATCAAGTGGTGTTCTTATGTACTTCAAGTGGTAAAACACAAAAATGCTCCAGTGAGTAGTCTCAGAAATAAATGGTTTTCATAATCTGTGCTCCTGCAGTGCTCCCAAACAAAGGCCCACAGCTTTTCCACCTTTTTTTGTACTTCCAGTACTACATTTTAGTTCATGCAGGTTAGAAAAAGCACAAACTTCCCAACTGGAAATCGATGCCTAACAAAAACCTTAAATATTCTTCCACACCGGTGGGATCCCACATTGATCAGATTTTGACTGTCAGCTGATTTATCTGTGACTCTGCCTTCCAGGCTCCCCTGAAGGGACAGGATGGGCTTGAAAAACATACTTGTAAATCAGGGTAACAATTCTAGTTCTAACTGAAGATGGATTTGTTTTGAATCCCTCTGTGGAGAACAAAGAAGGAAAACCAATTTCTCTCCACACCTCCCAATAGCAGGAGTTGGAGAAGAACAGCAGTATGAGGCTTTGGACTAAAAACAATGATATGGATTTACATTCTTTCATTTTTTTATTCAGGAGACTACCAGGAGAAAATAAATACCAGGAGAAAATAAAGGCAATGACAAGGCACACTGCTCCTGGCTCCTTGGTGTGCTCGCAGTTCTGTATCACATCAGGCAGTAAGAAACTAAGAGAAAAATCATTTACTCCTGATAGTTTCCATCTTTCCATTGGAAACTTCCAGCACTCCCCTTAAAAGTGCTCAAAACTTCCCCAACAATTTGAGTAAAGGAGTTAAAAAGAAAGAGCAATCCCTGTGCAGACACACGTGAAGGATTTGGGTCTCAGGCAGTGAATCCTCCCTTGCAGGAGACCCAGACTGGAAACAGCCCATCCTCATGCACATTTTTGAGCAGCTAATTGAGCATATTTTTCCATGAAGGAAGTTATTATTCCAGGCTTCTGCTTCATTGAGTTAAAGCACATGTCATGGCCAGGCTGCAGTGCCAGGTGCACAGAGTGATGGCAAAGGGATTTCCTCCTCATTATCAGACATCACAAGGTGTCCTGGGCACCAGTGCTTGAGCCTGAGTGACCAACAGTGTGTTAATCAATTCAGCAAGCACTGAAACCAAGTGCTCAGCAGCATCTCTGAACAGAAATCACTTTTTTTTTTTTTTTTTTCAGTTCTTTACCATTTTGTCTTTAGTGTTATTTTGGTTTTTTTCCTCTCGAGAAAAATTTTCCCCTGCTCTGACTGGGCAGTTTTATGAATGCAGCCAAGGGGCACCTCTGGGCAGTTTTCCCTCTGATCTTACATCTAAAAAGGACTGAAAAAGCAAAAGTCTAATAATTTATGAGATGATAGAAGCTGTGAGCTGAAGCTCTGTGTTACACCTTTGCCCAGTCCTTCTCTGCTGCTGCTTCTGTGCCACTGGGAGGGAAATTACATCAAAATTAATCAACGTGGCAGCAGCAATGATTGAATTTGAAAACCTCAGACACTGCAGTTCAGCAGACAAATGAGACCAGCCTAAACCCATCAAAAGACTTCCATCATCTGCCCCGGACAGCATGGCTTACCCTGACATGTGGTCACTCCCTTATTGCAAAGCATTTACAGTCACTAAATGCAGTCACAAGAGATTGAAGAGTGTGAATTATATTTCCTTTTCCCCTCAGGAATGAGTTTGTCTCCAGCTTCTGCAGTGTAGTCTGCTTGCCCTCTGTAGAGTTTATGCACTGGTCCA